TGTCATCCCAGAGAAGGAGGATTCCCGGGGGAGGGAACTGTGATGTTGACGTGCGAGTTGTTTTGGAGACTATGTGTAAGAGTGATCACGTGTCCAATCTATCTGCCATAACATGATTAGTTTTAAAACTCTTGGTATGTTTTAGAGATGCTCCCGGCAAATACCTATTGTCATCTACACATATTATTTCCGAGAGGGATATTTTCTATGTAATCTTTTTGTTTATTCTGATGTCCTAAGTGGAAATATTTACGAATATAATCTCCGTTATTGATATTTCGAAAACTAAAATCAGGACCAATGAAACGCTTGAAGCAGTTGTTTTATGTAAATATCCAGGTATCATTGATTGAGGAAAGTATATAATCAAATGGAGTTTCTACAATAAGTGAGAGCTGTTTATCAGTGTTATCTTACTCGTGTTTCATTTTAAAATCTTAAAATGGAACGAGCTTTATTCTTCGACAATTTCATGACATTTTCAAGTGATCGACATCGTTATTTTGCAAAAACGACGAATCAGGCAGCTTAATGAAACCCGTTTTCACATGTCACCAAGTCGTTGATATATTTTCCATAAGTTCTTAATTTTCTCGACGCAAGTTAAAATAACTACACTCTGTAACGAACATAAAGACTACAATTACTCAGAGAATATACACATTACACATACAAGTATAGGTTACAAGAAAGGGAGGTAACTCGTAGATTACACTAGTTACATATATAGAGACACATAGGTAGACTCTCACTATCATGAAGTTGGTTGGCCCATTATTTCCCCGCACCTGCACGGGTTTTTCCTTCTTGGTAGATAATTTCAAATAATTCTTTAAATTTTCGAAACATTCCATTTTAAAAAGTCTTGAGGAAAGTCGGGTAACTTCGGTCACTCATATATTCCTCTCGTTCTGGAAGGTCACGTGACTGTTTTTGATCCCATATCACGTAAACGTCTCAAAATTCACAAAATTCAACATTTTTGGTGTTCCCCTTTTAATTTACAGCTTAAAACAAAGGTAATGAGTCTAAATCACGATTCGGGCAAATTCGATCACAGCATGCCATCGGGTTATTTCGATCACTCATGTCGCAGTTACCCGACTTTCGATTCATTGATTTGTCGCGAAAATATATCTATCATGAACAAGATCATTAGCTGAATATTTAATTTTTAGTTGATCCCCTTTTGGACGTATTTGATATCTGGTGTCCGTAATTTATCTGGACACATCATCTGTTGGTCAACTCTTTATGTCAACTCTAACCATCAATCATGTTCATTAAGCTGTTCCTACGTGTAAAAATTTAGGCCTTCGCTCCCAATAGACCCGCCGTTAGACAAGATAATGAATCATTTTTTCAAACGATCGTCCTTACTCGTTATCTTCTGTGAACATCATTTCACATTCCTTCTCGCGCCATCATTGTTTTCACACTTGTACAGTGTAATTAATTACTGTCTGAACGCAATCACTCTGATCGCGGAAGAGAAGACTTTTATTTTGTTTAGTCACGAAATTTTCATAAATTTTAGTGTCACAAACTGTATATTGTTAATTTCCTGATTGAGAATGGCATCCGGCAAAAAAACAAAAGGAAACGTTTCACGGTTTTCAAAATCATATTTCTTAACATAAGTTTGCAAAAACAATGAAAACATTTAGGAAAAGGCAACAAAGCAATAGCTGGCAAAAAGTATTCAATTTTAAGTTGTGAATTTGTCAGATATTTTGGGGAAAAGCAAAACCCGAAAGTGGAAAGAGAAAAAGAATAAAATTCATGAGTTGAATTTTGAAATGTCCATTGAACATTCTGAGATAAAAAATAATAAAGATATATACATCCAAAATCCTCTTTTTTCGGAGATGAAAATGATAATTTAAGGTATCAACCATCAAAGTTTATCAAATGTTTCGCTATCAAACCAAAAAATACATCAGCTAATTAAAAATGTTAAGCTTAATATAAGTGTTACTGAAAAGATCGTATTCTGACGAACTAAATACCGTGACTCAGCATTACTTGTGCATCATCACCTCCTGTGTGGTTAACAATAATGGTGTCCATGGTGGGATCAAGGGAACACTTCCGCAAACTGCAATGTGGCAATCAGATACATTAATTCTTTTTTTTTCGCGGTATTTTTCAAATTTTTGATTGCCTAAATGAACACTGGCTATTGAACATATATTCTTAATTTTTGTGCGGTATTATTAAAAAAAATCATCGGCATTTTGTACTAAAGGCATATTTCAACATTTGTATATTTATTCAAATTTCAAGGAATGTTCCCAACATCCGAATAACAAGATTCCGTTGTATCTATAACTTGATTATTAAAAGACAAAATATATAGTAAAATTGCATAAACTTGTCTGACAAAAATATTTTCTGTTGATATGGTATGTAAAGATAAAAGTTAAACTGCATACAATGTAACATTGTCTAACCGCAGCAGTTTCTGCTATTTTTACAAAATTGTATTTTTAAACCTTTCGAGTTAGCAAAGAACACGAAAAATGTAATCCGGTATATATTACCACTTAATTTGCTCTTGAAGAAAATAAAACGCGTACAGTTCCTGTAAAGGATGTCGTGGAAACTGTCACGAAAACAAACAGGAAGTCGTGTTAGATTATATAACGTCATCAGTTACAGCAGCAACGCAATCAATCGATTTAATTTGAAGATAATTTAAAAATAAAAATGGTTAGGGTAAATGTACGAAGGCTAAACTCAATTTCTTCTTATTGCTGGTCAATCACTTGGTACACATATCAATTATGCTAAAGTAAATTCTTTGTAATTATGTTTCCCTGCGTTGTTAAGGAAAGTCTTAATGAAGGAAATCCGATTATACAACTGTTAACATGGAACTTGGAATGATGGTCTACCAGACGACAATGTGTATTGGAAGTTATTTCTTGAAATATGTCACCTTTGTTCCGTTTTAACAGTTTTGTGGTCAATAAAATCCCACGATACACGAGCGTGACATTCAGAGTTGTCAAGGCAACGTTTATTTTACTAGAGAAATAAAACCTCGTTCCTGGTCTTAACTAATCTAGACACCTGGGACCGATCGTAAGGATTTTGGTCACCGGCAATTCAGCAGACTACGGAACGAGGTTTCGCTATACTGTTTGCTTTCACTAGCGAAGATTTTCCCTGGAGAATTTGGTTTACCATCAGTTCAAGGTTATCATCACAACATATGGTACGTTTTTATTGATGCAGTAGACTGACTACCAGCCCCCAAGTTTTCATGAAGAAAATCCTGGCTGCATTTTACTACTAGCTTATCTCCCCCTAGTTTGAGAACTTAGGATCAGTCATCCAAGTGATCAAAAATAATAGAGTTTATTTTTTGCATGGACCCCTGATGATCCAATATTTTAGAGACGGGGCCAGTCTATTGATGCAGAAGCAATTATATGTACAGGTTAATAGAATCAGATTCGAAGATAGGACAATCGAACATATCAAATGGTATAAATGCAGTCACTGATTTCTATGTTCCGAATGGGAAATAAATAGGTTATAAAATGTATGCACACGCCTTGTTTAACAGAATAAGGTTAAAACCGGCAGATATCACCGTTATAATACACACTCGTTGCGCATTTCTTTTGTAGTTGCCATTTCGTCGAAATATTTTGATAGCCAGCAGCAGTTTTTCACAGCTGAAAGAAAACTGGCTTTCCCCAGCAAAACGAACTTTACTTTTTCCAAAATTAAATCAAAATGAGGCTAACCTTCCCAATTCAAATAAAATGGCGCTATATTTTTCTAATTTATGTAGAAATAGACTGTTGAGAAAAAAGAAAAAGCACTAACCAGTATGATGCTTGATGTGTGTGTTTTCCGAAATATGTAAAGTTGGACAGGGATGTAGAACAAATATCGTGACCAGGGGTAATAAATCATACTAAGTAGTTCGTCTGCACCGGAAGTCGAGGACGCTCCCGGAAACGTTCATTGGTTACTATTACGCTGTAAAGATAAGGTGATGCGGCTGTACGACGCGTACGGTGACAGTATTTCTACATGTTCTAGAAAAGGTCAAGAGATTGTTTTAAGAAATTTGACTCAAAATGTCGTAAATTCTTATGTAAATGTAGAAACATTTGAGGTTGGCCTTTTTTAAATCAGATTATTAAATTAAGTAGTGCATCCCGGCCTGGAATTCCCAATTGAGGTAGTTACTTCCTCGATGATTTGAGTGTGAAACATCCTTTTTATCATTGAATTAATTAAAGAATTTTCCTTAAGAACGAATATATAGTCGATAAAACACATGGCCACCCGAATTACTCTTTGAACTAGATACAGTATCTAGAACATTTTAAGCCCAACGCTCTAATATGGCGTATCAAACGTTGCAATATTCAATAATTTCATTCCGTATACCCTTTTTTGGATGAAATATGTTTAAACTTTTGAATAACCAATGGTCCTTGGGTGTTCAGGTGGCGCAGTGGATAAAACAGTCGCCTTTCACCAAGGTGACTGGGGCTCGATTCCTCGATTCCTGGGTTTTCTTAGGGTTCTCCAGTTTCCTTCCACATTAAGACACCCAAACCCCACGCGATAACACCCGGGCCCACAAGAGTGATAAATGTAATTTAAATAACTTGTAGCATAATTGTTGTGAAAATGAATAAAGTTTACCACGGTAACATTTTGTCCTTGGGTGATGATACTTGGCCATGCTATGGGTGTGGAGAAAAGGGACAGCTGTCCTACAATTGTCCGAAAACCAAAACAAATGGGGGAGAGGAAGGTCGTCAGTGTCAGGAAAACTTTTAACGGCTGGGCTTGGGCCCAAAAGTACAGCCCCAGAATCTGATACTTTTCATAAAGATGGGCCGGTAGTTACGTTAAATGCAGTACAACCTAGTTTATATTTAGATTCCTCGGTATGCATTGTTACCTCAAGATATCTTATAGATTCAGGTTCAACAGTCACCCTAGTTACCACAGATGTGTATGATCAAATGCCAGCACAGAATAGGCCCCAGTTGCAGAGGTGCAATTTAAGGTTAACAACTGCATCTGGTAACAATTTGAAGGTGTACGGGAAGTGCATTTGTGATTTTAGGATTGGAGATCCAGATTTTGCACAGGAAGTGGTGGTGGCTAAGTTGGAGGGACTAAGAGGAATCATAGGTGTTGATTTTCTTACAAAGCATCAAGGGGAGATAAGCTTTGGAGAAAAAGTCCTCAGGTTAGGCAAATATAGGTGTGATTTGCAACCTGTAGTGGCCACCGCCAGTACTTGTGCTAGGATACGGGTCAGTGAACCAATCTCCATTCCTGAAAACACGGAATGTTATTTTCCTGGTTACATAGATGGCAATATATCGGGTGAGGAGGGAATAGTGGAACCTGTTGAGAAGTTTAGTAGTGAAGGGTTGTTACTGGCAAGGATGTTGGTTCGACCGAGGAAAGGTAAACAAATAACCTTGTCGGTCCTTAACCTTTCATCGCGACCTGTCAAGTTACAGGAGAACACCCACATAGCTACAGTGGAAAGTGTAGAACATGTATACCAGGTTGATGAAGCAGAGATAGAGAGTAATGAATTAGAACCATTATCAGAGGGGTTATCAGTTCAGTTGAGGGAGAATGAAAAAACAGAAGTGAGACAGTTACTTGTGGAATATCAGGATATTTTTGCAGGACCTGATGGGAAGTTGGGCCGTACAGACTTGGGAGAACACCATATAGATACAGGTCAGGCAGAGCCAATAAAAATACCAGCGCGTCGAAAAAAGTGCTTGAGGATGAGCTTGATAAAATGTTGGAAAGTAGGTTGATTGAACCCAGCAATAGACCTTGGTCTGCTCCAGTTGTTTTGGTGACCAAGAAATGTGGGGCTATTCGTTTTTGTGTAGACTACCGTCAACTTAATGCGGTGACCAAAAAGGACGCTTATCCTCTGCCACTTATTGATGACACACTAGATATGTTACATGGGGCGAAGTGGTTTTCAACCCTAGATCTGGCTAGCGGGTACTGGCAAGTTGGAATGAGTGAAGATGACAAGGCTAAAACAGCATTTTCTACACATAAGGGTCTCTACCAGTTTACTGTTATGCCCTTTGGCTTAACAAATGCACCCGCAACATTCTCAAGGGTTATGTCCATCGTCTTTAAAGGAGGGATTGTCTGGTCTAAATGTCTCTGTTACTTGGATGATGTAATAGTGTTCGGAAAAAATTTCAATCAGGCATTAAAGAATCTTAGGACTGTTTTCAGTGCTTACGTGAGGCTGGGTTAAAATTAAAACCTAAGAAGTGTCAACTATTTCAGACCCAAGTTTCGTACTTAGGACATGTTGTATCGGAAGCTGGGATTAGCTGTGATCCTGCTAAGGTCAAGGCTGTGCTGGATTGGCATTCACCAACCAATGTTTCGGAAATTAAAAGTTGTTTAGGCATGGCAGGGTATTACAGACGTTTTATTCCCAATTTTTCTATAGTGACTGCGCCTTTGATAAAGTTGACAAGAAAAAACAAAACTTTTAAGTGGTCAAAATGCTGCGAGCAGTCTTTTAATGAGCTGAAAGATTTACTCACATGCAGCCCAATCCTTAGTTATCCAGACTTAAACAACCCATTTATTATTGATACTGATGCAAGCAACTCTGGTATGGGAGCTGGGCTATCCCAGGTACAGGATGGGGAAGAACACATTATAGCGTACGCTAGTAAAACATTAAACAAAGCTCAACAGAATTACTGTACAACCCACAGAGAACTCTTTTTTACGGCATTTCAAACTTTTTTTATTAGGCCAGAAATTTACTGTCAGGACAGATCATGCTTTCTTGATTTGGTTCAAATTTTTTAGTGATCCTGCGGGAATGTTGGCAAGATGGTTAAGCATTGTTGAAATGTACACCGTCCAGGGGAACTGTATGGTAATGCAGATGGGTTGTCCAGAGTCCCTACCAGACCATGTAAAAGGCCGGATTGTCAAGATTGTAAACAGGAAATGGGGGGTCCTGAGTCTGAGTTTGGTTTGGAATACACACATGAAGATGAATCGACGTCTGTTGGGGTGAATCCACTCTGTGACTCATCTTCAGATGATTCATTTAGTAACAGGGTAGAATCCTGGGGGGAGGAGAAAATCAAGTCATTACAGGGTTAAGATGAGCATGTATCCAAAGGGCCGGTTTCCAAAACGGCCCCTTCTCTGATTCAAATTTCCTGTTGGTGGTGCATTGCCCATGCCGTTCTGGTCACAAATCTATAAAGTATAAAGATTTAGGTCACTTGGTTTGTTTTTTATGGCTCCTCAAATTTGTACCTTTCAGAAGCTGTCTAAGTGTTGATAAAATGTGCATGTTATGTAAAATATTAATGAAAATCTAATCAAATGATGGTCACCGTAAAGAATACATTCATGGCATGATTGTGACAAAAAATCATGTTTCCATCGCGCCATTTGGCTGTTTTATGGAAGAAACAATCTCAAAAATGCCATTTTCGATGATAACATTTTAGACACAAAAACTGTGTTTTTTAGAGAATACACCCTTTTATGGGCGTTGGATGCAAACCAATTTTTATCCTATTAAACAGTACGTAATATGCTATTGATGAGAGGAAAAATCATCAAAATGTAAGTGGTGGAACATTTTCAAATGTTGGGTTGAATTAGCCTATGGTTGAATTGCCGATTTTCGACTTTCTTTAGATAATTAACAAAAAAACGAGAGTATTTGCTCGGTATGTTGAGAATATGTACACAGATATGAAAAAAAGTGAGAGAAACACTTTTTCATAAAAAAAATCCAAGATGGCTACTTCACAAGTCCCCGTGGTTGAAGACATTGGCTGACAAATAGACAGAACAACAAACAAAACGTGTTCCTTATGATTTTGGTTGGTTTTCGCATTTACGGGAGTGTTCATAGCTACGGGCGATTGTATAATACCTATATTTATAAGTTTGGTTAGTCACATGGTAACGGGGATCTTTCATATCGAGCCCCAAACATACTTTCGACATATGCACTCCGTTGCCGCATGGAAAACTATTTCAAGTTTTGTCGGAATTTCTTTACCTGTGGTTGTAATGGTCGAGGGTTTTCCAGCGTCCTGTAATACCCAAGGTAGTACAAGATACTGGAGATGTGCGCACACATTCCCATCGTTCTCTCTCCAACTGGGCACTGGCAGTAGTAGTCCTTTATTGGGGCCTCAACATCGGGTGAAACGGTGAACCGTATCCAAACGTTATATTTCGTTTGGCTTTTGTGTCGAGAATGTATTTGACATCGGAGAAGGTCTGGGGAGTGCTGGTAAAGCCACACCTCATAGTCTCCGTCATCACTTAAATGTTCGGCGATGTAACCAGGAGCCAGAGATATCTGATACGTTCCACACGTAATGGTTCTCAAGTAATCAAGATCGAGACGGGGAAACAGTACGGAAGATGCATCCATCTTGACAAACTCGGACCTTGCCCGTCTAGATAGATCCGGATCTGTCTTGACTCTCTGAGCTAAACCATTCGGTGTTGTCAAACGGTCCTTCATACGTTCAGCCATTAGCCTATCTTTGGCATCTCTCTCTGGAGATCTCTGGTAGATCGGTCCTCTAATACCATTCAGACAGGCTGTGACGGTTCGAAGCAAAGCCTCGATGACATTGATAAAGCTGTTAGACACCAATTGCGTTCGGAAGAACGTCCAGTGTTTCAGACGACCATGATAGGATTCCACAATCCACCTCGATTTGGTGATAGTTCTGTCAAGATTTGCTTGGACGTCAGAATGTTGACTTTGACCGGGTTTCAGGTATGACGGCATGCTAGCATTGAGGCCAGAGGCTTCGAGAACTGGTAGGACATCTCTAAAACCTCGGTCAACGACAACGTTGTCGTCTGGTTGTAGCCAAGTAACTAGCTTGTCCATGACTTTTTTTGTAATTGTAGCATCATTTTCGCTGCCAGTGAATGGTCCTACTGTGTCCAGAATGTAGCCATCTGGTAAGGCGATGCTCATGAATTTGAGATAGTTTCTCTTCTTCTGGCCACAGTAGGACATTCTCTGGAGCTTGTGGTCGGAGCTTTTCTGGATATAAATATAGGTGCCATCTAATATGGCAGTGGCTTTATCTCCAAAAAATGCTTCTGAAAAGACAGTATTGTGCCCGAGCAACTGTTCTCTTGTCAAGTGATCCGGACCTAGAAATTGTGGGACTATCGATGTGTCTAATGCCTGTACTATGGAGTGGAAAGTTTTGGACACACTTGACTTGGAAATTCCAAAAAGAGAAGAACACTGACTCCAGGAAATGTCGGTTTTCAGTTTTACCCAGAACAGTAATAGAGCATCGTGTGTAGTCTTGGTATATATACCAGATGAAAGATATGGGGAACAGTGCGAGTGGATTTCGAGGAACTGATCTTTGGACCAACCTGTCCAGGCCATGCATGCCGAGTCATCAAGAGAAGAAAAGCTTATTGTAAACGCAGACTGGTTCTGTGAAAGGACGTGCGACACCTCTAGGAGGTCATTAATGATTTCGGACGATTTTGATGGTAACTGAGATTCCAAGGAACCTCTACCATCAAGGACAACCTCTGTAGACGGATCTAAGTCGTTACCAATAAGGTGAATGGAGCAGACGCGGGATGAGGTGGGACACCACAGTTTGTGTGAATAGATCAGGTGATGTCTTGCACGTTTTGGTAAGACTGATGATTTTGTTCCATTTCTTGCAAAGGTAACAAGACAGAGACAGCATTTTTTGTGTGAAGATGATCCATTCAAAAGATCATGAAGGGTCAGCAACGGCAGGATATGGGACGGGGAGTCGTCTTCTTCCTCTATTTCCTGGTTCTGCTCGGGTTCAGGTTCAGGCTGATTTTTGTTCCGAAGATACTTCATGTAGCACTTCTGGCAAATAAGTGCTTGTTCCTTTGCTGACATCAATCCTTGTTGCACCAGCGTATCTAGGAGCCATTTATATTGTGGACTATTTACATTGCGTGCACTTCTGTTCTTATTGCCACTACGTTTCTTGAAGTATACTTGACACCCTTCTCCAACACATTTACCCTCCATCTTGAAACAATAACGATTGGTTTATGAAGCGTCGATAAAGTAACAAAATAGCAAGCCACCGATGATTGCTGTAAACAGCTAATACTTAGTAGTTTGGTACAATTATGCGAAAATGTGTGATAAATAACGAACAACTAATTACACAAAATAACAAGACAATATAATAAATCACATTCAATACCTCCAAGAAGCGCAGAATTGATTGATTACTTAGAACAAAATAAAGTATTTCATATGGATAATCTATCTATTCGATGTGGCGTGGTCGGCAGGCACAAAGAAAGTGAGACAAGTCAGGGTCCCAACCCTGACAGAGCCACAACGCTTTGGAGATGGGACAATAAAACAAGGAAAGTGAGACAAGAATAGCTAGCGTCGAGTCAATGATTCCGTAAACGTATAGACAAAGACAAGAAGATACGGATAAATGTACAAGGCCACACGATCAGAAAATTCAGAAGAGGACAACTTGAGATAGAACAGTATTCATGTATCAGGGTGTCCTCAGTGTAAATCTTTATATCGATACTGTTTATTTAGTCGTTACACATCATAAAACTGTCATGAAAATATCCGCTCTGATATTCAATATAAAAGTTTGTATATAATAAGCTATATAATAGGGTTTCAGACAAGGTTGTTACTCATTTCCCCTTTTCTTTCAATTTACAACCACATTCAGGCGGCGATATGAGAACGTTCCACCACATGGAATTAGCTGATTTTTGGTACACATATGAAACAAGTAAAGCTCTATCCGATTTTCTGATGGAAATTTGCATCCAAAACTATATAACGGGAGAAAATTGCAATTTTATGGCATTTTTCTTCATAATTGTGTCTCTGCAAGTGCATTTTCATCCGAGAATATTTTTTTTTATGTTTTATGAATAAACACGATGTTTTGGAAATATTTATCAAAAGAAATTTATACTATGTTGCGAATTACAATTTCGAGATAACCTTCTTTTATTTACGAACTTATGTCTTTGATGCTGAAATTGACAACTTTATAAAAATACATTTTCACTGAAATTATGAAATCTGGGTGTCGGAAAGGTGTAAAATTATTCTCCGGAAAAGAAAAAAAACAGTAGTTGAGCTAGATAAGAAATTATACGGGGGCAGGCTCCTATGGAGAATTAACATTACTGGAAGCATGCCCTTTATCTTATTGAAAGAAAAATGTACGCACAAACCATCTAGGGCAGAAATAAGTACACTTCCCTATGAAGTTAGAGTGTATGTACAACTTTGGGAAAAGATAAGCATAGGGGGCAATGATATTCTGTACTTGTCAGATGTAGACACTGATACAAGGGATATAACTCAACGGATTATCACACCATACTGCTTGAGAAATGATAGAATGAACCAGCTACACAATGGACACACTTCTGGCCACCTCGGTAGGGACAAAACTATTGCTTCCGTGAAGCGAAGGTTTTTCTTGCAAGGACTTACCGAGTCAATCAAACAGTGGTGTAGGAAGTGTGACCAGTGTGCACGCAGGAAACCGGGGCCAGGTGAGGGTAAATCAGCACTTAAAGGTAAACGAAAGGCTGGTTTGTTTTTGTGTATTTCCACAATTATAACGTTCCCTGGTTATACAATTTAATGCTTTTACACCTTACAAACGTCACAGGTGTGTAGATTATTTTAAAATGGTGAAATGATATAAGGTTCTACCGAAATCGCAAGTGAAAATCAAGCATGAGTTATCGTTCTTGAATTCGAAAATGCTGTGACGTCATACATGACAATCGCCGATCCATCAGAAACTTCGCAATGTCGCACGAATATAACTCCGATTGTAGCGACCATGACGAAATCCCAGAGGTGTCATTCTCTATAAATATCAACCCATATATGTATGAACCCGAGACATCGAACAATGACGATCATGTCGACTCAGATTCGTCAGATTGTTTTGAAGAACTGAATCTCAGCGACCAGAGTGATGCAGACACCGTGGCTTCCGATCAACCTGTCGGAGAATGGTTAGTTTCTTTGTGAATTATCTACTCGGATTTCTATAAATGTTTGTCAAATTGCAGTCACAATCATTTTTAGCTTCTAGTTACTTTCTTTTTCAAACAAACGTATTTTCCAATCGTAACGGCCAAATTGTAAAAAATGTATATATATTGCTGAGGCATATGGGCCTGCCTGACATAAAGCTACTGATCCTTGAAATCATTCCACAGCTTTGTTTTAGAAATTTGCATTGCCTTACTTTCTTTTTAAACGTTAGCAAAACGGCATTGCTGTCAGTTCGACGCAAGTATTATAATGTTTACAGAATGAATCACTTTTAATACTGTATATTATTCAGACTGTCTTCTCCAGCAGAAATAACAGGAAACAATTTCATTTCTTTTTGAGTATACACTGTATTTATTCCTGGGCAACAATGAATTTTAACACAGGTTTCATGTAAAATGCAGATGGTATTAATATAAATAATTACAATACAATGTTGTATTTGCCCTATGATCTACATGCGTGCAACAATGATTTACATGCAATACAAATTAGCCGGTTGGCATCATAATAACTTGAATAAACATATAAACATAAATAATCACTGGTCAGATACATGTTTCTTTTATAAATGTGACGCAACGGTAGACTATAAAATTAAGAATTTCAGTTTATAAACCAAATAATCCCGTCTTTGGACTGGAGGCTTAATTATCTTCTTCACAAATGTGTAGATCTGTTAAGGATTCATCTGGCCAAAGAAATGTTTTGTTTCCTATGAAATGTTTAGAAAAAATTAAGCTAGGAAGGCAAAATATATAATTATACATTTCATGGGGATTATTTAGAAGAGTGATAATGACTCTTAATAATATGCTCAAGTGTTTAAAATTATATGTACAATAAATTGACAATTTGAGTAGTCCTGAATGTACAGAACATAATAAAGTAGGCAAAGATATTTGAATTTATTCAGATCTTATTTATTTACCTAACTTAAAAATTGAATTGCAACCATAACTATAACTGCTATAAGTGTTCATGCTGATTAACAAAAATTGTTTCAAAAAAATATGTATACCTCACGTAGTGCTTATTTGAAACTGCATTAAAAGTTTAGGGTACCAAACAAGAGGCCCAGATGGCCTGTATCGCTCACCAGGATATTTCAGTGATTATGGCAAAACACTATACATTTCTACTGAAGAAGAAAGATTTCAAAGAATTCAATGTACTTCCCGGTAATGGGCCGTGCCCTTTAGGCCCCAGGGAAGCCAAACCCTCTATTTATATAACATTGGTTCTTGATCACCCAATAATGCTCCAGACCAAATGATATCAAAATCCACACAGTTGTTCACAACAAGTAGCAACTTTAAGGATTAACATCTATTTCCCCTATTGAGCTCCACCCCTCTGGCCCCAGGGAACCAACACCCTCCATTTACACATTGGTTCTACTACACCCAATAATGTTCCAGGCCAAATTTGATCAAAACCATTTAGTCATTCATGACTAGTAGCGATTTAGAGGATTTACATAAAAAATGTACCTCTATTTCCCCTATTGGGCCCTGCCCCTTCAACCAAGGATGCTTCAGACCAAATATGGAACAAATCCTTTCCTTTCCCCCTCCCCCTTTACTACATGCTTTGAATTACACTTAGCTACAGTCATCACAAACATTCATCTAAGTACAGTGTATATAAAACATGCATGCCCACATTCCATCTTTCACTCGCATCACATTTCTGTTTTTTCTCTCTCTCTCTAATATCTTGTAATTCCATAAAAAGGTAATATTTTTACGTACTGAAATATCTAATATCAAAATTGAAATTTTCCTTAAAACTTATAATTAGTGGATTGAAAGGCAATTGATGCATTCATATCATCTTTTATCGCATGTACATGCACAAAAACTACTGTATCACTTATTTGATAGAATTTTTCAAGTACTTTTTATGTCTATTGCCCATCAATCAGTGAATAATATGTAAATTAAATTGATCTTTTTTTCTTTCTTTCCAGGTGCTCTTGTGGCATGTGTTCTCATATGCCTACTGAAGAGGAAAGAAAATGCTGTCATGGTATGAGCATATTTGAAGAAAAGCTGGCCAACATTGACTGTATCACCCAACATGAAGGGTTTATTGCAAATTGTCTAAACTTGCATGTACTGGAAACATCATATTATGAATATGCCGATACACATGGCCCAGGAGCACAAGAGGACATTCACAGGTACTGGTAATATAAAAAACAATATTCAGAACATTTATATAAAATGGAAATTTTTCTTCAGCACAATCTTTTAATACATAAGACATTAAAATAATAATGCCACAGTGACATCCTCAATTGATTAACCCACTCTATACAGAACACATAATTCATGTTTTATACTACTGAATAGTGTTATTACATATATTTAACTGCACTGAAATTGCACTGATTTGAGAATACATGCATTACAAATCTTGACCTTCAAGAAATTTTTATCATTTCAGGATGTATCGTTTTGTTGCATACCGCCGCTTTATCAGGTGGACATGGAAAGTTCTTGGAAAGAAAAATCGACGGGTCATACCAGCATGTGCTGTGTCTGCCATACGGAAACAATTTCCATCAGAACAATACACTGGATTTAAGTATCCTCGTTTCTGACATAACTGGTAAACCTCTGATGGTGGTTCTGAATGATCACATTCCTGTCAAAATTCCCAATGGCACCACGGAGTTGACTGGCAATAGAGGGAGGGGGAGCATCCATTTCCTGAGCAAGAGCTGCTTCAGCTTGTTTAATTGTTGTAAACTGGAGCCGTCGTATTACTACCTCCTCCATTAACTCTGTGATGTAATCTGTAAGAACAATGAAAACATTTATATTAGTTTGATAGGATACAGACGTAATGTGCTGTTACATCAAAACTATCTTTTTTTATTGCTGCTACATTTTTCAAATCTGTACTTTAGCAAGAGGACAAGTCCAAGAACACCAATGTAAACAGTTTTTATCAACAGCATTGTTCAATTTTTTCTTCAAAATAAAACAGTAAAAGATTGGTTGATGCTACATCAGATACACTATCAGTGGACACCAATATGTTTTCATTAAATTTACACATTAATTTTATATTTCAATGCAAATGAAAAATGAAAAACAAAACATACCGAAATTCTGTTTTACTTTGATCTCTTTTGGAACAGCATCCCCTTTTCTTCCTTTTGGAAAAGCAATTCTGTATCTGGCTGTCCCGTCTTCCAGAGTTGCTTGTTGTCGAGAAGTATTTGCATTAAAATGCAGGGCTGCCAGGCAGAGTCTGAAATAGTATAGTTCATTGTCAGTGTAAAATTTATTTTAAAATGTATTGAACAAGACAATTCGTCGAATTATAGTCCCCCACTGAATGTAAAATGCACAGATTGTTTGACAGACCCACCGTATTCAATAAGGAATAGTACTGTAAGTGCTACTATTGCAAATAAATCTGATAGATGTTTAATGATACCGTTTTACTATTAAATTGCATCTTGTGACACATCTTGTGACACTATGTATTCTACAGCGTTTCATTATTTAATTGCATTTGGTGGTATAAATGTGAATAGAAGCTCCAGCAACTAGTAGTGTAGGAGATAGAGCCCAGACAAACATTTTCTTTGATGCATGTCAAAGGTCAAAATGTAGGTCAGAGTGACCTACTTTTGATACACTGCCTCACCAAGGCGTACCCAAACCCAAAGTATGACAGTGACAAGTAGTGTAGGAGATAGAGCCCGGACAAGATAACGGAATGACGGGCGGACACAACGCAAAACTATATAGTCCCTCCCCCTCCCCGTAGGGGACTAATAAGGTACCTCATTGTGCTCAATGTGAAAATGTCTGAACAAATGTGAAGGTGATCAAATGCATTTCTGACAGATGATTTCTTTTATTTAACTGTGGAATCTGTATATCTCTGATACTTGCCTTGCTTTCATCTGATTGTAAAAGAAATGGCTAGCTTTTGGCGCAAAATAATTCACCACATTGTGAAAGGATTCTAAACAAGATGTTTGTTGTGCTGGAGATAACTTTCCAATATCCTTCACTAGGAGTTTCCGACATACAATTCTTTGCATTTCCTGGAATACTTTGCTTCCTAAAATGAAAGGTTAGAAATCAATTCTGTGATAAATAAACCATAAATACTTTATGTGTAATGATTAAAAACATCATGAAGTATAAATAATTTCACTTATGTATAACATGCAAGTGTAGTATCTTCCTGCACAGCTTTTAAAATCAGTATGTGCATAAAATAGTTTCCCTTTCAACCCAAGGCCAGTGCATGTGCCTGGATTTGAAAGACTCTTAAATAAATTTACTGGCAGTAAAAGGATAACAGAGAAAAAGGTGTATGCTTATTTGTTACATTGTTGTATATCGACAGTATCATGGTAATTTCAAAATGAATTCTGCACTACTGTAATTAGAAAAGAAGAATGTCATGCTGAAAAGTATAATAAACTTTTTATAAATAATTTATTGAACTCTTGATCCCCAGCTTGAAATTCTAATTTATCTCTAAATTCAGACAGACATATCTTATAATAACCTGGTTTGATCCACTTTCTTGAGATGCTCCCGTGTTCACAGGAGTGGAAAAGATCCCCATGGCCCTCATGAATGTTTGCTACATGGTTAAGGATACTTGTCCATTTCTGCCGTACAAGCTCTTCATTACCTCCACTGCTGGCAGCACACCAGTAAACATGATTACTGATGGATCTGGCCCATTCTCCAGCTACTGCATATTTTTTTGACTTCCCCAGAGCTTCTAGCTTCTTGTACACACCTATAAAAGTTTAAAACCCCTGAGTATATATGATTGGTAGATATTACAGAGCTGTGATGTAAACTGATGTATCAATTTCATATTTTTAAGTATTTTCCCCTAACAATTGACAATGCATTCCTGTAAATTAAATACATGAAATTGTAATAGTCATGTATCATTACAGGCATACATTCATAGTAATATTGATGTAGTAGCTGACTGCTATAATTCAAGGGTAAAAATGTATAGTAGAACATGAACATTTGATGGAAAGTAATTTTGTTATATATAACTATAAATATTTTAGCAGACCTAGAGACAAAATACTGATATCTGAGCTATAAATGCATGATTATATTTAACCCTCTCACCCCTATGTAACTTTAGTAGACTCTACCATGTATTTATATGGATGATTCCATTATGGTCTACAGTGTTGAAAGGGTTAAGATAGCTTACCTTTTGCAACATGCCAAACATCAAACCAATGGTTTACATCTGGATGTTCACATTTCATCAATTTCTTCACTTGACAATGTCTGTCGGTCACCAAATCTGAAACAGGGATGCCCTCATCCTTCAAGAATTGGAAGCAGCGCTTCAGTCCTTCAAGTTCCATAGCATTGGAATTTTTCACTTCATTTGACTGAAATAGTTTAATTAATATGGGGATAAAATATGGAAAAAAGCAGAATATTTCTTTTTAACATAATTAGATTATAATGTACAATTATTGAATTATTATGCAAGTTTAAGGCAGCTTTGCAAGTGATTTGTATGTGATGAAAAGCATTTTAAATAATTGAAATATGGAAATTATTATACTACATGTACATATATATAGTCTATATAACAAATTAGCACAGTTCAATCACATGCATTAAGACTACTATATATATTATCAATGTAAGTGACAAAGCACCAAAATATTGTTTATCACCATTTTTGTCTTGACTACATCAATAGGTCAGTATTCAATTACCTGAACAAGCTGAATATCAACCACTTTGGCAGTTTCCACATCCATAAATGTGTAGCTTCCATATTTCGCAGTGTGTCCCGGGGAACTGCATCTGGCATCACCACCTAGTTTCAAGGACCTACCACTATTCCTTTTATCATTTAGATACACAGACTGTTGGAATTGCCAGCATAATAATGTGGTAGGTACGATGTAGGCCCTTTGGAGTTTATTATATGCTGTTAGACTTAGACCTAAAATACCTGAATGGCTCATGAAATTAAATGTTTTCACAGGGCTGTTCCCACTACAAAATATTCCACAAGCTATCACCAAGTTTCCCCAGGGCATTGAATTTGAAAATGGCTGGCTCCTCCATTTTCGGAGAAATCCACAGGCACAACTACTTGTTATACAAACACAAGTTCCAACTGTTGTCTTGATGTGTTGCAAGTTTCTCCTCCTGCAGACAGGACATATATCAAGAAGTTCAAACAAAGATTGTTCAAATACAACATACTTGTGTGCCTTGTCTGGGTCAGTTTCATTACTGTCAAACTTATAAAAGGGTGCGACATCACCTTCTAAATCTGAACAGTCCTCCTGTGATGGACTCCATTCAGAATCATGGCCCTGGTCTGGTGGAGAAATATCCATGTCACTTTCATCATCAGATTCACTTCCTGTATGTTTCTTCTGGGTGTGGTTGTATCTGTGACATTGTACAGATGCAGACGTAGTCTGGCATGTGGCCTGTACCCCACAAGACATCACTGTAGGCTTCATTTCTGAGATCCTTGTCTGTAAACTAACATGGCGACGTTTCTGAATTAAAAAAAGAAGTTATGCTTATCTGGTATGTCCTCGGTCTCTTCAACGATCTGTACTGTCTAAACATTGTAATTTATTTTGATTAACATTATTATTACAACAGACATTTTCATTTCAGTAGTCTCGAGATCCAATGTATATGTACACCTGTAAGTTTTAATGGGCATTGGGCTATTTTTTAAAAATTGTATCCTCAACTTCAGTGAAACTATTTGTTTTCTGTTATAGTTTACTGCATAATGAATCTACATGTATTAGCAAATATTTAGAAACATACATATGATCAAGTAATTAAGACCCTCATATAAATATTCATGCTGAATATGTACTTAGAAAATATTGAAAATTATTCATATACTTACTGTTAGGTTGTAAGATGTTTGACAGCCAACATTGTATGTATCTAGAGGATCATTTGGTCCAACACATTTGTCTGCTGTTTTGGTCAGATCCAATGCTGATGTATGGGTTTCCATATGCACCTGGTTAGGATGGTACTGTACATGTGTACTTGCAGCATACATACTTGTCAGGCTATTGTGACTTGTTATGTCTGGTAATAACTACAAACGAAAATAATAATAAAATAAACAATGAAATGGAACGTAATTTCCACCAGCAAATATCACTAACTTTAATACGAGACATGTAATCATGTATCCTATATGATATACATGCATACTCATTACAATGTAAAATAACAATTCAAAAAAAGGAGGGAACTAAAAACATAGGTTTTACTTCATAAGCATGTAAGTGCACAGGCATCTTTTTGCAATATCATTTATACAATACAATTACAAATACAATCGATGCAAAATCATTTTTTACCTCGAGACATCGTCTTTTCTGGATAGCAGTGCTTGTCCGATTTTTGTTTGGGGTTGATAAATGGCCGAGACAACTGTCTTCTGACCGGCCTGGAGTGTTTTTCCGAATGTTGGCTGATGAAAAATCAAAAATTGTTGGAATCGCTCCTGGTTTTAATGATTTTCGCCCTGGTGTGAAACCGATTGATGCAAGCAGACGACGATCCTGGGTGAAACAGTCCTCTTCAAAATGCCTCTCGCACAATCTAGAATGGTCGCTTGGAGAAAAATTGCCTCTCTTCAGTTTCATTACCCATAATTTACCCAGTTTTCTATCTCGCGGAAAAGCAAATAGGCTTATCTTCTGTCCGCGATTACTGCTGTTATTACAGTTGATGGCCGCACATTGTACCATTTTGACAGGCGTTTGTTTACATCCTCTGTCAAAAGGCGCAGAATCTATGCCACGAAAGCGCTTGTCGCATATGACGTCACAGTCAAGGGAGATAAATTGGTCAATACTTCGCGATTTACGAGATCGACTTGAAAACAGCATTTTTTGAAAAAGGCAATAAACTTACATAACTATCAAAACATGTGCGAAATGCACTTATTACTTTTTTAGTGATAATTTTATGACACTTTGGCACAATCGGCAATTACTTTTTGGTTTTGGATTTCGTTTACCTTTAAGTCCTCCATAGCTCATGTGTATCGGCCTATGGATCGTATAGCCATTGATATTCTTGGAGGTCTACCTGAAACGGATAACAACAATCAGTATATCATCGTAGTGTGTGATTACTTCACAAAGTGGGTTGATGCATATGATGTCTCAGATCATACAGCCCTTACTGTGGCAGACAAGCTGTGTTCTGCATTTTTTAGTCGTTTTGGGGTACCTCGCCAAATTCATTGTGACATGGGGAAGGAAATTGAGAGCGAGTTATTTTCTTGTTTGGCAGCAAAACTGGGAATAGAAAAGACACGGACAACACCATATTGGCCCCAGTCAGACGGGTTAGTTGAACGATTCAACAGAACCTTGTTACAGATGCTATCTTTTTTTTTGTAAAGTAGAACTATACAGACTGGGATGATCAGTTGCCATATGTTTTAATGGCCTATAGAGCTACACAACACTCTAGTACTTGGTATAGTCCCAATGTGTTGATGTTAGGTAGGGAGACAGACTGTCCATTAGACATTATGGTGGGTGTACCGGAAGATGACCCTGACTATTGTACAAGTAAATATGTAAGCTGGCCGCAACAGACTATGCGCCAGTCTTTTCAGGTGGCACATCAGAAGTTAGGGGAGGCTGCAAAAACGCTAGCCTGATGGAATAATTAAATTTGGTATAACCATGTTAATAATATTGGGTAAGTGGAATTTACACCTGGACTATTAGTAAAATTGGAAACTACTAGCACGACAGACTAACGGTTTTAAAATTTAATTTCTAGCCCTGAATTGCTAAGACTGTTGCCAGATTGGCAGACTTATTACCTGCCTGTGTGAAGAACTGCAGGAATAGTTCTTTTGAAAACCATTTTAAATGAAGTGGCATAGCTCCATAAATAATGGAGGTAGCTCCAATTTATAGGCATTATTCACATCCCCTTTTTATAATGGCTCTGCAAACTGAGTTTAATTAAAATCGGTGATATACCTGAAGGAGTGGGACAGAGTTTTTTAAAACAAGGGGGCATAACCCTTTAACAAGGGGAGGTTATTAGAATTTTACACATTATAAAAATTCCAACATTGTAAGAAACCTTTGTTTTCTTACATCTAGATTAGAATGACCACGCATGTATTGACCTCATAAAAAGGCTGTAATTGATTAATATTGTAGTTGGGCTAATCAATGCCACAAGAAAAGGAAGAAAAAAAATATTCAACAAAATATCACCAGACCAGAATCCAGGGAAATACGTCAATGAAAGACAGTCAATAGGTCACCTAAACCTGTGTGGTAGTCAGTCAATAGGTCACCTAAACCTGTGTGGTAGTCAGTCAATAGGTCACCTAAACCTGTGTGGTAGTAAGGTTATGTCGCTTATTACATCATTGGATGATGGACAAATATAGACAGTATAAATGTGTATCCTCAGCAGGAATTATGACAGTAATTATCAAAGTTTCGGGATATACATATGGCAGGGATAGCCTGTCCAAGTATCATGGATAGTGTTAGTAATTAATTTATAATGTTTATTGAAAGGTGGATGAATGAAGTAATATTAGTGGAGTTTAATATGTAATTATGTCTTGTTTGTTCAGGTGTACATGTATTGTTTGTAGTATCTAGTCTTGTTCAGTGTCATTGTCCATGTGTCAGTTGTTCAGTGCCATGTGCTTTTGTTTATGTTTTGTTCTGTAACCTGTGACCTGTTTGTGACCTGTAACCCCATACTTACCTGTGACCTTTCTTATCTGCCCATGCATTTCACCTGAGTGAATGACAGACATGTGGAGGGGTTGACCATATAGAAAAGGTAGGAGTTAATATGTTCAAAATTAATGTAAAACAGATGGTATTAACTCTCCAAATTAGTATGAGATATTTTGAGTAACTATTATAGTGTACTTTATAGATGTACTGAGTAATATTCATGCTATATGCTCTGTGAATATTTGGAAATTCGAAATAACTTCTTTCTATTTCTATTTTAACGATAATGTAAATATATCAGACTAAATCAATTACATACTACGATGTTACTGTAAAGAGTCGTTGGTTATTTGTTCAGACTCGCCTGCAGTTATAAACCCTTGTCACATTGAAAGAGTAAGTTCATTACAGTTATATATAATATAAATAATGTATATTACAAATGATATGTGTTATTGGTCTAAGTAATGTGTAATATATTAGCCAGTTTAATAGGTTATAAAGTCTATTTTGTCCATGAGCATTGTTATATAAAGTCAATGAAATCAGTAAAGATATTGTGAAATAAATCATAAGTATGAAATATGACTAATGATAAATAATAAAAGTAACTATACAGATAATGATATGATACCTTGTAATAGGTACAGTGTAATGTTTTAGTAACAAGGGGGTATCTACTGCATGTTTCCTATACGTTTGTCATTGTGTTCTTGTAGGGTGTAAATTCATCCAGCGTGTCTGATGTCCAGAAATGGGATAATTAAACGAATGGAAACCAAGAACGTGTTTGTTGTAACGCCTCTGCCCAAATCCCATCCCTGTTTCATTGGCGCCCACGTAGGGACAGAGGCGCTTGATAAATCCATCAACCCGACATGCGATTGCTGTATCAGACTTGCAGTGCATGCTGTAAAGACTTGCAGTTTATACTGGAAAAAACTGGGGGGGGGGGGGGGGATAAACCTTATTCTGTCTGCAAAAGTTGAACTTAGTGCCACATAAACAGCTCACCATGTTTCGCAGCTTATGAACGTTAATGTCATGTGTTGTAATACATAGGATTTATGACGTCACGGTACATGGCAGTGATAACACATTAGATCATGAGCGCTTTTAACTTTTCTTTAATAATCTGTACTAAAGTAACTAAAAACGTACAGAAAATGAGTGGTAGAAGGCAGGGATAACGTGTGAGAGGTGGAAGAGGATCTTAGTCCAGTTACCAACAGTGAATGTGGAACTTTTGATTTCTTTCGACACGGACAAGAGCTAACCAGCGAGACAGGTGAACAAAATGGCCACGATGATTTTACAACGGTCAAGTCAAAACGACAAAGAAATAGCACAGGGGGTGGCAGAGTGGACACTGGTTTGGATTTGTCAAAGTTTGAGTCTCCTTCGGTGGATGAAAAGTTAAGCTTAATGATGGGGAAACTAATGAAACTGGACGGGATTGAGAACACCTTGAGTAAGGTTAGTAAACGAGTAGATACGGCAGTAGATGACATTGAGAATATTCAGGAGGTTATCGGTAATTTAGAGGACAGAATGAAATATGTGGAGTATAGAGCTATAGACATGGAGGCGAGAAGCAGACGAAACAATTTGCTGTTTTATGGAATTTCATACTCAGAGGGTGAAAATGGTGCTGAAGTGGTTCGCAATTTTATTAAAAATAATCTGAAGTTCAGAGAGCTCATAGAGTAGGCAAGCCTGCACGTGGATGTGGTGATGGACAGGTCAATTTAAAGCCACGCCCACTTATATCAGGTTTCCGTGATTACAATGACACCGAGAAAATCATGTCTGAGGTAAAAGCACTTAAAGATACAGGTTTCGGTATAGGAAGAGATTATCCCAGAGAAATTCAGACAGCTAGAAAGGAACTATTGGGGGATCTAATGATGGCAAAAAGGGGTAAGAATGAAGCGAAGATTGTATTTCCAGCGAAGTTGATTGTGAACGGCACGGTGGTGAGGGATTCGCTACCTGAGTTGAGTAGAGTACTACAGCGACGGGCAGCAAGTGATTGGTCGGATAAACGGCCGAGTGGACCAATGGCGGCAACAGGGAGCGGAGCATCGGACAGTGATTAGGAATGCGAGGGGTACACGTGTGCACACGTTGGCAAGAACGTTGGTATCAAACTTGTGCTAAGCGAAGTAACAAGCTCAACAGTGATTTCTTTGAAAACCTTTTCCTTGTAAATGACATTCTTTTGACGTGGTCGTCTACATTACGGGAGATGGATGTTACAGATTTTACATGTTTTCCTTTAAATAGAACAGAATACGTAAAAAAATTACTAAACGAGACTCTGGTGGATTAATTATTTATGTAAGAGACACAATATCTCGGGGAATTAAAGTAGTTAACAAGGATTCTGACGACAAATTTTTTCTTAAATTGTCTAAAGATTACTTCGGTTTTGAAAATGATGTTTACCTATTTTTGTGTTATATACTGCCAGTAAACTCCAGCAGAAGGTCATTCACAAATGGTGTTACACTTGATCGCTTGTATGACTTATATTTAAATATTATAAATACAAACGCCGGTACTTGTGATTTTATAGTTGTTGGTGATATGAACGCCAGAACGGGTGAGAGTGCTGATTATGTAGAGGTGGATACTAGTGATTACATTCCAGTTGATGACGACTACGTTGTAGATAATGTCGTTCATTAGACTTAGCTCGAGTGAATGAAAACGGTCATAAACTTCTTGATTTCTGTAAAATGTCAGGTCTGAGAATGGTAAATGGCAGGATTGGTAAGGATGCTGGAATCGGCAATTTCACTTTTATGAACCAGCGTGGGAAAAGTTTAATTGATTATGTGTTGACGTCACCAGGTTTGTTCCCTTTATTTTCTCATTTCGAGGTCGGTTTGCCAAACATATACAGTGATCATATGACAATTTCTATTTCGTTATCTACGAATATAACACATGTGAGCCCTTCTCGGTCTACCGATATACAACAAAAATATTATAGGTGGAAACCAGAGATGTCA